CCAGTCCCAGAGGTGCAGGCACCGCAGTTTCTCTGGCTCGCTCACAAAGTGGGACAAAGACAGCGGCAGAGCCAGGCCAGGGACCCCCTTTGGTCGCTCCGTCCCTACATGACACCCTTCCAGAGAATTTACTGATCATCCTCCGACAGGGCAGTTGTGGCCACCTCAGGACTGCCCAAGCCCCTTATTCCAGGGGACTCAGTGGCGATTCATACTCCACATGTCAGGTAAACACTGTTCTGTCCCAAGGAGTGTCCCCCGCCACGGTAGGATGGGGCGGCTCCGGAACGTGACCCCTGAGCCAATCTGTGCTCGCTGCTGGCTTACCTCTCACTGTAATCGCTAGAACAGACCAGCGGGCCGTCAGGAGAACAGCGCAGTGTGTGGGCGAGCCTGCCCAGCTCCGTGGCCCACACATCAAGGAGTTCTGCCAGTGCATAGTTGAGAGGTGGGGGTGAGGGGGGGGGGCTAGGCACCATGTCCGTGAGATCTGTCGTGGTAAGTGAACTCCACAAGTGACAAAGCTGCACATGACGGAGCCTTGCCGGCGATCCAACTCATCTACCGCGGGAGTGGTTAAAGGGGGGGGGGGGGGGGAATCGATACGCTGACATAAAGGACGCCAACATCTCCGTGGGTACAGACACCCGGCGGTCCGCTACAAACGACGGGCAGACTCCAGCCTTGATGAGATCCGCCCCAAAATGTCAGGGAGCTCCGGGATGGGGTGGGGTGGGGGGGGCGCTGACTCACAGGTCGGGCCTTTGTTTAACCGCGCCCGCAAAGAGAGCGTGTCCCTCCCAGGTTTCCACAAAGCCCGATCTGCAGCTCTCTGTGACAGCCGTCCCCAATCTCAAAGTGTATCAAAGCCCCCCACTACCCAAAAAAAAACCCCACAAGCGCTCAGGGGTTCAGCCATTAACACCCTCATTTCCCCTGTGCTGTCAGCAGGTACACTGAATGCAGCACAAAGACGCTGTCCACTGGGCACGCTCCATACAGCCCCCCCTGTCCATACAGCCCCCCCCTTATGTCTAATCTATATCTGAGCCCTTCAACAAGCTCAGCGAAAGGGAGCAATGGGAACAATGGAGCCTAACTTTATTTTTTTGGCAAACTGGAATATTTTTTCCAGAGGAAGCAACCAAAGGAAGGAATATTTTATCTCCAACATTAAACTCCACTCAACACATCGCTGAGAAGGGCTTTGGGTCCGTCCAAAATGGGGCTGTCACCAAGCCAGCCCCCCTTTGTCTGAGCCCGGTATTTTTCTTTTCTTTTCTTTTTTTTTTTTAAGGAACCGAGATCCGTGTGGTAATTAGACCCAAATTGAGGGCAGGCGCTAATCTATTTTAGGTCGGCTGCGATTCCATTTGCATTGCACGTTTAGGCTAATTAAAACTCTTCCCTAATCAGATTTAGATGCAGCGTGTCTCCCAAGCTCACGAGCAGCCTTTTGGGGGCAGAGAAGCGGCAGGCCGCACGGAGACGGCGAGCGGCGAGGCGGGTGGGCAGGCGTCGGGACCGAGACAGGCAGCCCAGTCACTGACACACATGCTGAATCCTGCAGAACAGACACCATGTTTAAAGAGAGCCTACTCGTTTCCCCTCGACATTCTGCACGTTCAGAGCTTCTGTGGATATAAAAGCCCATTTTCTGTTATGGCCAGAAGGTGTGGGGGGGGCAAAATGAGGGCGGAGCCAGTGACTCATACAAAGCACGGCCCATCTTGTTTTGAGCCCCTTTTCCATTCCCATGGTGTTTATCCCCCTCTAAACCCAAATGCCCCCCTCATTCGATTCCCACAGGAACCTGCTGGCCATTCCGACCCAGAGGGAGTCTCTCAGCCCCATAGGAGAAGCAGGGTGACGACATTTCAGACGCTGACTCAGGACGACCGAAAATCAAGCCAAATTCTTAGCTAATGACAGAGAACCAGGCCACCAAAACGGCCCAGAGCGACGAGGTCAGTCAGCCGGGGGTACAGGTCATGGGGCAACACAGGCACAAAGGCTTGGGGGCCTCAGGCCACTCGGGGCCCCGCCTGGAGGGGCCCATAAACCTTGCTAAAGGTGAAAATTGGATTTATCCATGTTTGCCTTCTGCAAATACATTTCAAACCCAGAGCGAGTAATTCAATTACAGGTCTGTCTGGGACTAAAACACATGTGGCAAAATAAGCAGGGCCTTCCCACCACAGCGGGCATAACCAATTCATCTCAGCGGACTGGGAACGCTTTTATACAAAGGAAACAACCATCTCAGTGCATAAACACAACCCGGAGAGATTAAACTCTACGGCACAATCAATGGAGAAATTGTTTCCAAGTGTGGATGCATGTTTTTTTTTTTTTCCTTCTTCATTTCAGTGCACGGGGTGGGGGGAGGAGGAGGAGGGAGAGAAAGATCACGAAGAGGTCGATCCACCATCCTTCTTTAAGTGGTGAATGGAGGAAATGACATTTTAATCTTTCGGCCAGGGCAGAACAAACGGCATGGCGTGTCAGAATAACAAAAAAAAGACAGACATTTTTATCGGTGGAAACATGTAGGCCGCAGCGATAGACTCCTGTGTCTGGACAGAGCCCTCAGTACAGCAGGCAGCGTGGGCCACGGAGTCGTATGGGACCCCCCCCCCCAGACCAGACGGGGGTGGCAGGACCTGTCAACGACTTCAATGTCTTGCAAGCTAGCAGCATCGTAGCGAACGAGGGGGTGAAATACAGCTTCTTTGCGGTGGCAAACTCCAGTTCAGTACATGCAGCACATGAGTTCCAGATACGTCACACGACGACAAAGTGCCAAGGGGCTGCGGTTCTCTGAAGTAGCTCAGCATCATCATAGTGTCCCAAGAGGTACCATGGGTCAGCGACTGCTGGGTGGGGCCTGAGCACCAGCCCCACCCTACCGCAAACTGCCCCATCACGCGGCCCCACCCATCCAAAAGCATGGCAAAAGAGAAGAAAAAAGCCGGGACTGAAATAAGGGAATTGGGTCATTAGCGCTCATATGCATTTTTAATGGAGCCCTATTCCACAGATCTTTAATTTTGCAAAGCATATAATTTAAACGTATACATTTTTTTCATTCATTTCATACTGCACAGTCCGGGAAATTCCCCCAGGGGACAGTTTAAAAATAAAATGGTGTGCTGGTGCTTTTTTGGCAGTTCAGGGAGAGCCTGTCCTACAGCTTAAGACCTCGCGCCTGGAAGCCTGCAGCTGGAGAGGAATGGTACAGCCACTCAGAGATGCGGCACAGAACCCTGTGCAGGCAGCATCGACTGTAAACAACTCACCGTCTGCTCTCCTTTTTGGGTTTTGAGTGGGGGGACAATGGGGGGTGGAGAATCAATTCTTTAATCTGCTCCTAAATTTCTAATTAAAAGGGGTAATTGCTTATTGAGCTATTAATCTAGTCTCCATTAAGCAGAAATATAAAAACCACAGGCATGTCCGAGGTGTTGAAATAATTACCATACAGCACTGCAGAAGAAGGGAGAAACTCCAAGCAAGAGTCGAGACCTAACCACCCCCCCCCACCCCCCAGGCCGCTCCCTGCCCGACCCGCAACGAATGCGAGACATAATCTGCGGTGCTCAGAGACTGTGCTCCCCCCAGCCGGCAGAACCCCGCGCCAGACAGCCCGGCAAAATGACTTCAATTACAGACTCACATGCGAGTACTGGCAGCTCGTAACCGATACTAGCCTTATTTACTCGGTCGTTCTTGTGTTCGATCCAAAAACTATCCTCGCAGTAATCAGCTGCTAAAGACGTACTCACGAGTACAGAAAACGATCTGGTGAGGTGGAGGGGGTCGCTGTCTTAAATAAGAAAATGTGCACTAAGATATCGAATGTCAGCCACAAAACATCAATGGATCTCAAACCTCTTTAGCATTACATCTGACTGCATTCCCAGAGCGTGTCCCTTAATCTCAGGGCCATTTGCCTGACAAAACGAAGGAGGACCATGTCTTTCAGGAAAGAGAGCTTTGCCCCTGTGTAATTTCAAACCGAATCATTCGCCATCCTTAAAACACCGATTTGTAAAACGTGCACAAAGCCAGAGGTGGTCTGAGGACAGCGGGAGCAGGAGTGGATCTCAGCTGACCTCTAGTGGTGACACCAAGACTTACATGGTGTATATTCACAATTGACCTCTCCACAACATACCGGCCTGCTTGAACACAGCAAAACTCCACTGTTTCAAACTAAATTGACAGAAAGCTTGAAAAAAAGTTTTGACTGATTAGTCTGCCCCTTCTTCAATTTTCCCTTATTATTGTACCTAAAACCAGCAGTAGTGAGCGAGTTCATTGTGGAAAGCGGCACAGAGAAAAGGCAATGGGCAGGTCAGACCCAATACAGCAACTAATCCTCCAGAGCAAATACAAAATGAAAGATCTCACACACTGGAAACCTAATCTGATTGGAAGTAATCATTCCCAGCTTGTGACATAGCGGGACTGACAGTTAATGGGACGCCGGCCATGAAGGCAGTCCGGGAGACGCTCACAGACAGAAACACGCTCACAGACACACGTGCACGCACGCCGTCTCGCTGCTCGTGAGCGATAAGGTAATGAAAGTCAGCAGGAGAGCACTAGCGTGCACCAGCAGGGGTGCTGGGAATCGGGTCCTACCCAGCAGTGCATGTCTCAAATCCCCAGTACGCCCAGCTGCGTCGATAGCAGGCCATTTCTCACTCGCCTTTAATCTGCCTGACGGCGCACTCGGAGAAGTCATGCTCCGCAGCCCCCTCCAGCCCCCGCCGGCGAACCCGAGGCACGTCGCAGCAGAGCGTGAAAAGGAATCGCTGTGACCCAGCAAGGCCCCCCCCACGCCCCCCCCGGCCGGTGCCTCAGTGCCAGCCTACCTGGCCTCCAGGATTAACTCCGCAGATTGCCATCGCATTCCCCATTCACCATTTGTTTGGAAAGTCCTCTCTAGGCGTCATGGAGACGCAGGGGGGAGGGGGGGCCGGCCGGCCACGTACCAGCTTGTTCTCCTGCATGTAGATCTTCTGCAGCTTGGGGCAGCCCTTGGCCAGGGCCACCATGCCGTCGTCGCTGACGCCGTAGCACTGGCCCAGGTGGACGTCCCGCAGTTGTGAGCAGCACTCCCCCAGCTGGGCACACAGGCAGAGAGGGAGACAGTCGCCGTGACACAGAGGTCACCGAGGTCACAGGACCCCACTGACACTCAGCAGGGACAGAGACCCTGCACGCTCTCCCAAAAACCTGCGTCAGGGTAAGTAGCAGCAACATTCACGCTCCATAAATAATCACCTTCCTTCCCCTCAATCTATCACCCATTTTTTTTTACGGCCTACTGTGTCGCATTACAGGAGGGCCAGGCATGCGTCAAGACGGCTGGGACCCAAGTAGGTGAATCTCTAACCACCCCCCACCCCACCCCACCCCAACCCCCTCCAATGCCAATTACGTTCCGCCACGCCGGAACTCCCGAGGCAGCGAATAATTACCATAAAATGATCAGCAAAATAATCGCATTTAAAATAAAAACCCGAAATATGCCTCGCCGTTCGCTGTGACTGACTCGGAATTATCAACAACATTCATCTCGAGCGTTCCAATTACGCCGAGGAGCCGCTCAGGGCTGGGGGGGGGGGGGGGGATCAGGAGAGTGGTATCGCTCACAAACGACAGCAAGGCTCTACAGAAACCCCCAGCCGCCCCCCCATTAATGGCTGCTGATACTTTCAGACGAATGATTACTGCTGAGGCGTAATGGGGACACCCAGGCTGATGCAATCAGAACCAGGGGGTGAGTGGGAGGTGGGCCAGGAGCTTTAAGCGATGACTTCCAGTGTACACTGGACTTATAATCCTATTTTCAAGGAGAGCACAGGGAATAGTGCAGAGTGCAATATGTAGAGCGGCCTGCCCATGGTCAAACAAGCTGCTAAAATACCAAGAGGCTCCCTACTATAAACCCTATAGATCCTCTCAGTGGGAGGTTACACATAACCGGGCTTTTTTTAATAGTAGAAAAATAAGAGAAATAATTGGAAAGGTGAAATAGGGCATAACAAAGCCGGGTCGGGTGTAGGGCCGGCAGCTGACCTTCCTGAGCGCGCCGTCCGTCAGCTTGTCCTGGTTGCCCACGTGCACCTTCTGCAGCAGCGGGCAGTGTGCGGCCACGGCGGAGAGCGAGGCGTCGCTCAGCTGCTTGCAGCGGTACGCCGTGTAGCGCAGCAGCCCGGGGCAGTGCTGGGCCAGAGCGCGCACGCCGCCGTCCTGCACCTTCCGGCAGTCCGAGATGTTGATCTCCATCACGTTCTGCCTGCGGGAGGCGATCTTCACCAGGAGGTCATCAGTCACCTGGCAGAGAGGGAGGGATGCGGAGCACGATATCAGCTACGCAGCTATCAACCTACCTAAACACCCATCCATCCATCCATCCATCCATCTATCCATCCCTCCCGCCATCCATCTATCCATCCATATTAATAATAATAATTTTAATTAAAATGCTTTTAAATCAGCTATTAGATCGTCTCAGAAGCTTTTACGAAGTCCTGCATGTGGGTGTTTCTCACATTTCTCTCTGCGGGGGATATTTCCGTCAGGACGGTGCGATTTGAAGAGTCGAGGGCTGTCCCGCTTCCCCACTCACCTGCTGGAAGCCGCTGAGGTCAATCTGCTTCCAGAACTGGAAGTCCAAGCAGAGGTCGCGCCAGTACCTGCAGACCAGGGAGACCCCCAGGCAGCGCTCCTTCACGGAGAGATGGGAGAAGACCTGGAGGACAGGAAGGGGAACAGAGCTGAAGGGGGAGAGCAGCGGCACTGCAGCCACCTACGGGCGTCGGTGCTTCGCGGCCGCGGCACGGCGGTCTGATGCCCATCTGTACAGCATGGCGGCTTTTACTGTGCGCATTAGCAGCAAACTCACGGCCAAACGAAGGCTGCTGCGGCCACACTCTACACTGCACTCTGGGGCCGCCGTGCTACCCCCCCTTCCCAGAGGAGAGCTTCCAATTACAGTCCGCCATTCCAGAATTCCCAGGGCCCCGGATAATTGAGCTAAGTAACGCCAACGCTAACTTAACGCAAGACATGGCACCAGGGCCAGGTAACGCCCATGGGAGTCAGCAGCCCTCAGGGGATGACGCCATAGGCTGCTGCCAGTATCGCAGCCCCGTGTGACGTGCGTTTGCAGCCGGCTGAGGCGGGGGACGGCACCCTGACGAGCATGCCCCCGCCAGCGAGACTGGAAAAAACGTACGCTCCCCTCGCCCACCCCCACATCCAGGCAGCGGCGGCTGGCAGTCCCTGGTCGATAAGCCCCCCCCCCCCCGCTACTCCCACCATGAAATCCAGCCTCACTTCGTTGTTGCTGTGACCCAGGGGGATATTTATCCCTCTGCAGTCCGGCCCGGGCAGCACCGCCATGGGAAACAAGCAAAACCGCTGCCAAATTAGCTGCCGACCTTCCCCCCCCAAGCCCCCAACAAAGGGCGGTGTGGAATACTCACAGGACACAGAGGTGGGATAAAAAAAGCACCATGATAATCCACTTTTACCTCTTTTAAAAAAAAAAAACCAGGCTAAGTATTTTTAAATATGAAACGTACACATCTGTATGTGGTCCTTCCTTAACAGGCCCCAGTGCCCATCCATCCATCTCCTAAAACCACTTATCCTAATCAGGTTCGGGGCGGGGGGGGGGGGGCCCAGACAGCACTGGGCAGCACAAGGCTGGGGTCACCCTGGATCAGATGCCAGGTCCAGAGCCTATCCCCGAGGCTACAGGAGCAAACCCTGGAGGGGGTGCCAACCCATTGCAGGGCACACTCACGCACCTTTCACTCACAGATGCACACCTATGGGCAATATAGTAACTCCAATGAATCTCAGCATGTTTTTGCACTGTGGGGGGGGAAACCAGAAAACCCTACGACAACATGGGCAGAACATGCAAACTCCACACACGGAACTCAGAGGTCTGACGTGACAATGCTAACCACTGCACCACAAACATCTTCAAGCAGCCAGATATTTGCAGAAAAATTGGAGACGAGTCCTCAGGAGGCAGGGATACGGCAAAGCTCAAGGGCCAGATGCAGCCGTCGACCCGTCTGAGGCAATCAAACACAAATTTCCTGCCCCTTTACCCAAGAATAAACTAAGCGAAACGCATTCATTCCGCAACCACTGAAATGCACATCTAAACTGAACCATGTCTTTGAACTTGAATATCAGACGCCGGACATGACAAAATTCCTCCGGTTTATACCCAGAGCCCAGACTGAAAACCCAATAATTGTGCATCATTTGCCATTTCGTATATAAAAAGATATGAAGTGCATCTGGCATTAATAACCAGCGCTGCAGTGGTTTGGAATGATCAAAGGTAAGAAAAGGCTCCTTTAACTGCGATCATACTGGGAACTGATCTGGGAAACAATGTGGCCATTGGAATCCTGCTACAAGCAAGGCTGTGTGTCTGAAAAGAGGGCAATTACAATGGTTTATACACATGTAACCTCATGAGATCCAAGTACGCCCAAAGTAGTGAGAAGAGTTCCCTTTGAAACCAAAAAATTGTGTTCAGGTGGTGGGGACTTAAGGATAGGGACACGAATGCCTTTGCTGACAATATGGCCGTGTTTAGGAATGCGAGCAGGCATTCAAACTGTTATGAAACATGACGCAAATAATTCAATCACACTAAATATCAGATTTCAGTTGATAACTGTTCGGGATCATGTGTCCAGACCGCACACATAATTTCACAAAAACAACACACAAACACTGTCAGTCTTGCTGTCACTTAGCAGTTTAACAAACACTTTCCCCCCCCTCCAAAGCACTTGTTTTCTACACTTTTACACATTTATACTGCAAATTATGGAAAAAAAATACTAAGGAAGACGTTATGTTAAGTGCAATATTTTATTGTAATTAGCAGTCCCCCTAAAACGCCACAGGGGTCTTGGAGCTCATCCTGTGCAGCAGAGAGGACGAGACCAGGGTACGTCCCGGGGCTCATATAGGCCATGATGTGGGCAATTTAGAAACAACAATGAGCCTAAATGCATGCCTTTGGTCTACAGGAGGAAACTCCACACACACACAGACACACAAACACACACAGGGCAGAAACTCCCCACTGACCACTGTGCTGAGTTCATTCTGTTTTTCAGGATAATAGTCAGCAGCACTTTCTACATTTATTGTCCTTGTACAAAGTTATTCAGTGAACCAAACTATGGACACAACCTTATGAAGGAAAGGGGGAAGGGCGAACTACATCCGAGCCGCTGCGTTCCCCGGCCACGGACCTGCAGGAGAGGGTACCAATGCGGCATCGCCCAGCAAGGCGACAACACCAACCCAAACAACACTCACCTTTGGCTGAGGCTAATAAAGCATCTGCAGTTACTGTAATCGTTTGTTGTTCGTCTCACGCCTTTTAGCCAAACAGCTGTTTCGCAAACATAACCAGCTGGAGGAATTCAGGCTAAATAACTCGCCCAAAGGTGTTAGGAGCAGGGCCCCCGGGACTGGAAGCGGCAGCCTTTGGGATGGAGGTGCCCGTCCTTCTGCCACGCGAGGTCAGGCACCCCGCAGGAGGACGGCTGGCCGGAGAAGCCCACCAGCCGGCATCTCGCACTCACCTTCAGCAGGATGGAGGACGGCAGGTGGTTGATGCTGGGGGTGTCCGCCACCTCCAAGTCCCGACCTTCCAGGGGGGTGTCAACGTACTCGTGATTACAGCCTGAGGAAGAGGAGGAAGCAGAGGAGGAGGAGCCACCGCCTTGGAGTACGGCTACAGTGCCTCCTGCATCGCCCGCGCTGTGCCCTGCCTCTAACTCTGAGGGGGAGGAGGAAGAAGGGAGGGGGCAGTGGGGGAGGTGGCAGTGTGCCGTGGCGGAGGGGGCGTCCCGCACCCCAGTGCTGTCGGGGGCCTCCTGGAAGGCACAGCGGGGCTGCTTGCACGGCGCAGAGCGCCGCAGCTCCCCACATTTGCGCTTACACACCATGTCGGAGTAGTCGGCGGCCACGGAGGGCACGGTGCCGCAGAAGAGCACCGGGGGGGCGATGAGCTTGGCGGGAACGGCAGACAGCAGGCTCTTGCCCGGGCCCTCCCAGATGGCAAGCTCCGGGGGTGACAACAGGAATCGGGCGCAGTCCTCGGGCGAGCTCAGCGCGGTGTAGCGCTCGGCGAGCCGGGCGGCACTGCTCTCCAGGCGCTCGTCGTCACTGTTGCCGTGGACGATGAAGCAGAGCATGCACGGCCCCTGCAGGAAGCAGTCCCTCCACTTGCTCTTCTTCTGCGCTTTCCTCTTCTTCTTCTTCTTCAGGCGATTACCATTTTTCGAGAGAAGATGGCCCATATAGAAAACTCACGATGGCTCTATATTGTCAAGAGAGACAATTTAAACAGAGAAAAACAAAAGTCAGTCCAGTTTCAAGAGCATAACAGTAGTTATATGAATTCACAGCTCAGAGTGACAATGCTGCAGAATTGCAACAATCACAGTACAATGGGTCTGTATTATGCAGATATACAGTAACATCTGGAAATGTCAAATTTCTTTAATGTATGTCTTTGTGGTACAAAGTCCGGTTGCAACCACAAGGTTTGTGGTACCGCTTAACACAGTCCAGTTATAAGGCTGCTTCAGACCAGTTGCTCTCACTTCTCACACCATGAAGACCTTAGTGACACTGTTCCTGGAACAGCTCTGACTACCAGTCACAGACCACATGGATCCTCTGATCCCGTACCAAGCACACATAGGTGTGGACAATGCTCTGATACACATGCTCCACAGAGCTTCCTGGACACAGTCAGCACCACAGTCAGGATCATGGTATTTTACTTTGCCAGTGCTTTTTATACCATCCAGACTCTCCAACTGGGGCACAAGCTCAGGAAAATGCAGCTAGATGCCCCCACAGTCTTCTTGATCATGGACTATCTGACCAACAAGCAACAATATGTTAGGCTCTAGGACTGTGTCGGAGATAGTGGTGAGGAACACTACTGCACCTCAGGGATCCATCCTTCCTCCCTTCCCGACCACCACTGACATGACGGACCGCCAGTACACCAGCTCATGCCACCCACAGAAGTCTCCCGATGACTCCTCCATTGTGTAGTGCATGGAAAATAAAGATGAGTCAGAGTATAGAGGCTAGTGGAAGGACTGCAGCTCAACCTCAGCAAGCAACTGGTGGATTTATAGCACGCAGAGTCCATGAGACCAGCCACCATCCACAAAGAAAGTCAAGGTGCTGCTGTGGTACAAGCAGCCAAGAGTGCATATGGACACCAGACTGGACTGAGTGGACAAACACAGTGGCACTGAACAAGAAAGGCCAGATCAGAGCCCACCATCTGAGAAGGCTCAAGTCTGCTTCTCTGCTGGAGATGCTTTGCCAGTTCATAGTGGGCAATGACATTCTCTACACAGTGGTCTACTGGGGAGCCAAGCAAAGTTCAGGTGATGCCAATCACCAGAACAAGCTCATGAGGAAAGCCATCACTGGACTAGTCTGGAACTCACTGGAGGCAGCTGCAGAGAACAGAATGGAGAATCTGAGAATATCATGTACAGTTCTGCCCATCTGCTCCATGGGGTGCTCTCACAGAGCACCATTAGCCACTGGCTCGTTCCACCATGGTGTGCAAAGAAGCCCTACTGGAGAGATTTTCTGTCATCTGCCCTCAAGCACTACAATGCCTCCTCCGGACATGCCTGCCCTCCCCCCAGCCATGCCTGCCCTCCCCCCAGCCATGCCTGCCCTCCCCCCAGCCCTGACATGTGCCTAGACAGCTTTTAGAAACAGACCATGACTCTGAACATAACTGTATAACTATAGACGACGCAGGTACACAAATAAAGAAATTGAGGCCTAGATGTTTTCACTGTGTATGACCTTGTTTTCCCAGTGTGTACTGCTTTTGCCATTTGTCTTGATGGTTTTGAATCTGTGCATTTTGCTTCATTGCTGCTATATGCAGGCAAATTTTCTACTGGGCTAAATTGTCTGTCAACTTGTCTGTCTGACTTTACATGTGTCTGCACGTCCATCCATCCATCTATCCTTCCATCCATCCATCTTCCAGTCATTTATCTAGTACACGGTTACTGGGCAGTCCTGTTAGTTATTTTAAAAATCTGGGTTACCACAGACAGCCAAGGAAACGTCTTTCATGTAATGAAACTTGCACTCTAAGAATCAGTGTCGGTGAACTAAGTTTATTTTCAATGGACTGAGTCTATAGAGGCACCATAACATAGCTGATATGACCGTTTATCCATTTAACAAAGATTATCTATAGGTATGTTAAGCACTCATACAACACAAATGATTAAATGAAGCACGAGATGAATATGGAATACGGACTGCTAAGCTACACAATCACCTACAGACATGGCCTTCAATACACACGCACAACATAATAAACAAACATAATTTGGTCACACTGACATCAAGGGATTCAAACATCAATGATATATAAATGAATCCAACATTCCTACCTCCATGCTTATCTGACACAGAGCAGCCATAAGCCTAAAGCCTCTCCGAGGCACCACAGGACATAAGGCAGGGGAACACGCTACATGTAATGCCAGGTCATCACAGGCCATACACTCACATACTATAGAACGGGGCAGGACTCAAAGCCAAGGAGGTGTGAGACCACAATGCTCACAGAGACACAGTGCTACAACATATACACAAATGACAGAAATGTAAAGACAAGTCCCTCACCCATTCCACAGAGAACTTGGTATTTAATGTGCACAGTTTCAGTTGGTAAGAGCAGCTTTGCCCTGTGCTTACATAACTACTGTCTTCCCCAAAATCTGAGACCGCAGAAGATGGTCTTTGAGGTAGAGGTCGACCGATATATCGGGCCAATACAGACGTTTTTTTAATCGTTAAAAATCATTTTAATTGTTAACATTTTAATTATTACCATATCAGCCCGATGTTATCAGTTCTGTTTTTTTTTTTTTTCTCTTGTCGGAGAGTTTCACCCTGTGTGTGTGGGGCGGAACAGGCAGCTCTCAAACACTGCAGCGTGTGTGAGAGTTGCGTTACTCTGCCCCGATCACAGACAGCACCGTCTTCGAAACTGCTAAGAACAATGCATGGCGGAGAAAACTGTTTGTTCGAAAGAGTGGTTACCATTCACCTGAGCTGATGCTGACAGTGGTCCTTCTGTGCAACTTTTTTGCATTTGAGAGCGGAGATTCAAACAATTTGTCAGACGTCTAGATAAAAAGTGCACGACTTTGCGCAGTTAGTTCCTCATTAAACATGTCTATCCTTTATACGGGTTTATACGTCGACAATGTCACAATCACTAGGGGCTTATGTTGTCCTTGCATACAAGGCTGTGTAATACGACATTTGAAGTTATTTTATTTTATTTTCCGCGATCGCTAGATTCTGATTGTGAATTTGGCTTGTAAGCTATCTGTCTGCTAACAACATAAAGAACATGTTAGTGAAAGGTTTTGGGCCTTGTACACTACTCATCATATCATGCTGCACTTAGTTACTAGTGTTTTTTTCTTTCAAAATGTATTAGAGTGTAATTGTTTTAATGTGCATGGAATACTGGAATTGTAGAATGAATTGAAGATGAAGGCACTATAATAAAAATGCTAACCTTGCATTTTTTCTTCTGTTTTATTAATTGCTGTCTGATGGCTGAACAAAAATCTAATCCTGTATGGCAGCATTTCACAAAGCCAACACCAGGAAAGGCCAGGTGCGATATCTGCAGCACGCTGGTGAGCCTGGGAGCTGAAGAAGGAGTTTGCTGCTAAAGAGATTCTGATGCTGCTTTTTTTTTATTGTTTATTAGTTTAAGTTGTTTACAAGTTGTATTGTGTTTTTGTTATTTAAGTTTATATTCAAATTTACATAAGTCAGTATTCAATTCAAATGCTAAGTTGAGAAATTTTGTGTATCGTTTGTTATTATTAGTGTGATATTTTATCATGCAAATAGAGGGGGAAACGTCCAATTTTCGGCCAAAAAATATCGGCAGCATATATCGGCCATCGGTTGACCCTGACTCCTAAATATCGGCATCGGCTATTGAAAAACCCATATCGGTCGACCTCTACTTTGAGGTGATGCTGCCTCACCACGGAAGATTGAAGGTGCCCATATGGACGGTACAAATTTGTGGTCCGCTTGGTTACTTGTCATTTAATGTAGTACAGGCCATTACATATAAAGGACCAAAATTAACATGATTTAGTGATTAATTGTCATTGTTGACACACCCCAGCACACAGCACACAACAAAGAAATGTGCCCTCTGCATTTAACCTATATGTGACATAGCAGTGGGCAGCTATTATTTAGCATCCAGAGAGCACTGAGTTGGGGTAGTACCTTTCTCCGGGAACCTCAGTGACAGCTTGGGGATTCAAACAGGCAACCTTTCAATCGCAAGCATGCTTCCCTAACCATTATGCCACCAATGGCCCAAAACAACCTCATGCCGCTATGCCATAGGTTCGAACCTACTCGGGGAACCCCCCCAATGCCTTAACCACTCGGCCACACACGGGATTCCACCAAAATCTCAAGAAAGTTTTACAACAATTTTAAAGCAATGCTACATGGCCAAAGGGCAAAGTCACATTAGGAAGGATTTGGAAGAAACTGTATCATATACTGCCACCATGGAATCACTAGCGTACATGTATAAAGAAGCTATATTGGAGCCACTTTATTTTCCATTTCTTCCGACCACATGACAGGGAGCTCCCCAAACTTGGGAAAGATATCCATCTAAAGTGCATCTAAAGGAACTCGCTTCACTGCGCGCTGTTTGAAAGGTCTGGTTTTTGGAACACTGATCCTGTAACCGTATTTACTAAATACTAAATCTCCAGCAGGTTTGAGGGACGGTATTAATAAATAACTAGATGACATCCAATTTTGACAAACACATATATTCACAGTACAACTATTAAAATCCTAGCCAGCTGTGGAAATTGAGAAAAATAAGGCTAATATCAACCTAATAGCTACTTAAACTATAGAATTCAAACATCTGAAAAGCTATTAAAGCACCAGAAATGTGTAAGGGGCCAGATTGCATCGCTTAAAAAGTAGTAAAAGAGTAACATGTAAGGAAACTTTCTAACACCGAATGTAAAATGCAGTGCCCCTCAGTACCAAGCTAAGCAGACAGCTAGCTAGCTGCGAGCCTTGGTGCTGTAACCAGTGTACAACAGCGTCTCCTCACCAGTTGGCACCGTGCTGACCACCTTCGTCCCGGGCTCTCATTTGTTAGCGTCGGAAAAAACGGTTGTCCCGAAGTTTCGACACGAAACCCAGTATCTGTATTTACGGACCACCACATACATAAAACAGTGCCTCCAATTTCACTACAAGGAGTTCCGGAATAAAGCTCTGAGCGGAAGTCCCGCCCCCGCTCTGGCAGTCATTGGATAGTTTTTACGATTCTCAACAGAGGCTCGCTGAGCGATTGGTGGAGGGTTACTGTCATCGTACAGCCCTGGTTTTATTTACCAACCCATGCATCTTGTCAATAAACGAAGTCCATCAGTTGGTTTATAAGTAAAGCTATATTCTTACCCTGCAGTAAAGTGAATCAGTAATTCATGTTTTTCTTCCTATTCATGTACTGAACTCACTTTTACTACTTTCGAAAGAATTGGCACTTTCTGTCTTTACAAACAAGGTCAGGTTTTATATTTTTTTCAATATAACCATCATAGTTTTTAATGTCGACAATTATGAACAACAGTGACAAATTGTTTTTTTAAACTACATCGTTATTTAATGTTCTTGGTATTTCAGACCGCAGTTTGTCAGAATATTCAAGGACATGCTGAACATTAATTTTCTTTTCAATCTTACGTTATTACTACTCCCTATGGATTGGTATTATAGTTAAAGCACCTCAGTAATAAAAATACAGTACAAGTGCTATAGGCCTACATAATTTACAAGGAGCAGCATTGTAGAGCAACTTAACAGTAATTGCTATTGTACATATAGTTATATTCTATCCATTTTCCAATCTCTTACCCAGTATAAAGGGCCCGGGGGGCATGGGGACTGTAGCCCAGACAGTAGAGCGCAAGGGATTGGAACCCTGGAGAATATGCCAGTATATCACATGGCACACTTTCACACTATGGACAATTTGGAGATGCCAAAATCGAGTTGAAACCACTGGAGGGAGTGAAATAGAGAATGTAATTGTATATGTAAAAAATAATCTGAAGAATTAACTTTAAATGATTGAACTTTTGTATCATGTTTCTTCCACAGTAATAATTACCCAGAACAATAGTTCTAATTGTAATTTAATGCATTTATTGTTTTTCTTGCAGCATCTCATATAAATGAAGATATTGTCATATAAAGATTCCACATTGTGGAAAGAATTGTTTTAGGTCAATGTTTTAACAAGGATGTTTATGATTATGCTACTAATGTTTTTAAGCAAAACTGCATCTTTGTTAAAAATAATTTTAAAATGGTAAGATGCTTAAGTAAATTTTAATAAAGGAATCTTGTAAGCAATTATAATTACATTTAAAAACAAGAAATCGTCATACAACGAACTATTAAGCTACTAAAATCCATCCCAGCCTAACAGTTGCTAATGATTCCAAAATGAACCAAACTTGTTTTTCAAACATCATTACTCAGTAGTTACACTAAGGTTCATGCCTGGACTCTGACAACGAAAGTGCCAAAGGTTTTACAGCACATTTCAGTCAATGTCTCAAACACCAGTTGAGGTGACATAATTTTTATGACCAAAGTAAGTGATGCTGTGCAGAAAGCCAGCCTACCCTATGGCCTTTTGGATTTTAATGACAATTGTCCTATGTCTATTGTGAATTATGTTAATGTAGCGCACAATGTACTCTAATATTCTGCCCAATTTACTGTTGTCTTATTATGCTGATATAATTTGCTAATGCTGATTCCTCCTGTGTTATCACATAATTAGAAAGACAGCTATGGGTGACTTTGTTTCCTATGCCTGATCTTGCCCATATGTGATGCGTAAATCGAAAGAATAATTGAAGGCTTTATGTACTAAAGAGCTAGAAACAAGTACTTATTACTAATTAAGTGAAACAAAGATATTATTTTTAATAATTACATATTTCTAACACTATATTATGGGCAAATTCACCGGCCGGTGCTTTGCGTACTTAAACTTATGAATCGAAGTTTTTTTCACTGTATTTAAGTTTTATATTTAACTCACACTCACGCCATTTTTTCTCATCTGAGACATGAACGGGAAAGTTGCATACAGTGAACCAACAGATCGGAAAAACATAAAGTAAAATAACACGAGCAGCTGATTGTCTATATTACTGAAGAGGAACTGTTTAAAAATGAAAACATTTGATTAAATACAAAGTCGCCGTGAGTGCTAAGTAGGAATGGCGAAATCAGTGTAGTGTTTTGGGGGAAAGTGGGCGTGGATCCCAGAATCCGAAAGGAGCTCCTGGAACCATTAAGCATCCAGCAAGTCCAATAACTGCTTATGTTTGCCATGTTTTGTTTTGGTTTTTTGGGAGCGAAATAATGCAACCCAGAAAAATATAATGGCTACCCGTCCCCCAGTAATACATCAAATTGTCAGAAACCAGCAGGCAACGATAAAGCCTCCGATTAACGTTAACATTTCGGCCGTCGAGGATTATTACGTTTACGATCGACACGGTGGCCGTTTTCTATTCAAAGATTTATATAAGGACAAGAAAACGATCATCATTTTTGTTAGGGTGAGTAACTTTGATAATTTGATCATATTTAATCCGATTTGCGACAACCATGAGATAAAGATTGTATCGTGAACCGCTTAATAACTGCAGCGTAATTTTAAAAGTGCGTCTGTATATATTTTCTGCCGGAAGTTGCTGGTCTGTGGGGGCTGGATGGAGTGTATAATATCGTAATTGTAAATATGATTCTCATCTTCTGAAGAAGTATTTAGTGTAAATTAATATTGATATCCTTGAACTGTGGACGTAAAGTTACTCTAGTAACTAGTTTCCTCGACCTTTGTAAAATGGTAATAATGTTACGTGGAATTAAACACTTAGGGGTTTTGAAAGCGTATTTACAGTCCACGGCGGATTGATGCGATTGAACGGCAGTCTCTTATAATTTAACTGTTTAAAAGTTTATTTATTATTATTTTAGAATTTCTTGTGCTACGCTTGCAAAGAATATGTTGAGGATTTGGCCAAAATACCCTCGAGTTTACTCACGGTAAGCACTAGAGGAATTTGATTTTGGGAATTCCCCCACATGAATATTATGCATTGTTTATTGTTAAAGTATTACTTTAACATTTATCTGATGCGTCGGAATTTATGCGTTTGGTGACAGTATACTAATCTGCATGAAAGGTTACTAAACTTTCTACACACGGTTACAAATTAAACATGGTTCAGGTTAACTGAATTCCGGATTTAAATAAATGTAGAGTATTATACTTGTTTCTGTTTCTCCCAGGACGCTGGTGTGAGGTTGGTGCTGATTGGGCAGTCCTCCCATGCTCATATCCAGGTATTAAAATATAGTCTGGTGTTGAATCACTTCATGCAAAAATAATTGATGTGAACAGGAAAGCATGGAAAACAGACATTACCTAATTGAAACTTATTGGTATGATTTTAGCTCAAATGTCTATTATAAAGAATTAATAGTTGATTCATTATAATTAAAATAAGTAGGGTTAAGGTTGGGCAGCAATTGCAGTATAATGAAAATCACAAGTTACGGTCACATATTAATTTAGAGAAGCTGTTATGCTGTACTTAGGTTAGCCTATGAATTATGACAAAAGTGATTGGCACTTGTAATGAAACTTACTTCTATTTCCAATTTTTAGTCTTTCTGCTCCCTGACAGAGTATCGCCATGAAATGTATGTTGATCCTGAGAGACACATTTATAAAAAGCTGGGGATGAAGAGAGGAGAATCAGCTACCCACTCAGGTAACCGAATAGCAGTGTGTGGTTCTTGGGGTTATCCGGGCTTTTTTTTTACCATTCAAAATGCGCTGAAATTGTGTACTGACATGAATCTAAACATTGTGTCTTCATTTTACTACCGGAAAATTACTCCGAAGCCCCACCGCCCTTTAAGGAAATAAGCATTCATCTAGATGAATATTAATAAAGTCGTTTACACTTAGGGCTTTGAGTTTGGCATCAATATAATAATATAGTGACTAGAAGAGCTGATCCTGTATATTCCCTTCGACCTTCCATGCAGGGGTGATATCCTGGGGCAGCACTGTTGAATAGCACCTTGGGAGTTTAAGTGCTGCAGCCAAATCTCTGTGTATAGACCATTTGTTCCCCTTATGCTTAGAGGTTTTGTGTTATGCCCTTTAGTCCTCTCCCACTGTTCAAAAACATGCAGACAGACTAGGTGCCATCTCTAAATCACACGGAATGTGTCAATGAGTCTGTCTGTTTTAAGGATGGTCAGAATTGCTTCTTTCCCCAGTTTTAATTTGAATAACATTCAATTAACTCCACCTCTCACCCCAACCAACAACACACACATGTGGATAAAAATATATACTTCTTTCCATACAAAATGAGATATTGCTCATAACTGCAAATGTACCACATTAAAAAAGTAGGCCTAAGTTAAATAAATTAAAATGAAACTCAAATTAAATTGAAATGAAGAGGTAGGTCAAGCGCAGTAACGTTTAATAGCCTGCGCCTTGGGCGGTTATGGCAAATGGCGATTTCTTCACTTTTAACACTATTAACCTATTTACATACAAAATAGGGCTGAACTATATTGGACAAAATTCACATTGTGATGTATGAAATTTAATTGTTGCAATATTTTATAATTGCAGTATTTATAAAAAAAAAAAATAGTTGAACATTTACTCAAAATAAACTATAGCCGAATATAACTTGTTGTTATCTACCAATAGAGTCTGTGTTTGGTGGGAAAGGCAAGTAGACAGCAGTCATTCTAATTCACTCTAACAACTGAATTTTGAAACGTGGACTAAATGATCAAGTGAGTCGGTGGTGTTGCCACGAGTTGTGCAAACCCTTGCTTTTGTTAAATTGTCTATGAGTCACTGAGATAGCAAGGACAAGAATGATTATGATTGTGCATACAATGATCATATGAAAGAAGAAACTCGAAATGTAATTATCATTAAAATTGCAAAATCTGCTAAGTTTTAATTCCTATGCTAGAAGAAATATGCTTTAGCATAACTTCTTAATAGTCTCAAACCAGGTGATTATCATGGTCCTTGCAATGCGACAACTGCATGTGCATAACATGTGATCTCAATAGCATCGTGCAATGTCCAGGCCTCCTACAAAATCAGACATCAGTAGTTGCTGCAAAAGGTTAAC